TAGCGTGTGTGTGTGTTGCGTATGATACTGAGTGTTGCGTGTGGGACATCCAGGGTGATCCAGAGTGCGAACAGTGAGTTGTGTGGGCGCCCAGTCGCCATAGCCAGTTGAAGAGAACTCATATCTGGTTACGATATCTTAAGTACTGTCAGGGCGCATGTCGCCAGTTGCTGTATCGCTGTTTGCATGCAAGACAAGTGTGAATAATCGGAGTGTGTGAATGCAGATTCATCATTAATATTATTATTTATTGTTTGAATAAGAGAGGAGTCGATAAGGGGGAGGAGTTGGTTGGCGAGAGAAGGGGGGATTGTCATTTGTCTTTTGCTGGTATACATCTTCTTCTTCTTCTTCTTCTTCTTCTTCTTCTTCTTCTTCTTCTTCTTCTTTATCTCTCCCTCCTCTCAAGTTCATTCATTTCTTTTGCAATTGGATGGCATTGCGCTTTCTCGTGAATTTTGCACTTTGAAATTGGCCAGGATCGTAACACTAGTAAATGCTACTGTGATTGAATGAGCTGCATGAAGTCATTGATATGGTAGAATGTCTTTGATGGGTTGATTAGTTGAATTGAAACATGTTAGATTGGCAGCACCTAGATTGTTCCGCATTTCATGTGGGGTTTGTCGATTGGTTGGGATGCACGTAATCCTGTTTGTACAATACCTTGCGGCTTATTGGATGGATGGATGGATGGTTGGTGTGTGGGTGTGTGGGTGTGTGGGTGTGTGGGTGTGTGGGTGTGTGACACCTGGCCAGCATGGGAACATTGCGGTTGGCACATCGACGAATGGTGCTTCCCACAAGATACCAGGAAGGTAAGTGGACTTTCTGAGACAATTGTCTGCAAAATTTCAGAAAAGAATTTGAAAAGGAGTCGGAGTTTAAAGGACCCAAAAAAAAACAGAGGGAAAAAACATTTATCAATTGAGTACACCACACCTGGTCTCCGGCTGAATTGCACACACAAAGTAATTGTTCGCCAAATCCTGCTTGATAAAATAATCTTACTGGCACTGGGGTCAGATCGCATTGGGTACCCTTAAAAAATAAAAAATAAAAAAATAAAAAAATAAAAAAAAACCTTACTGGCTGGCCTTCCCCTTGACACACACACACACACACACAAAACAGGCGTAAAACACACAAAAAAAGTTGAAAAAAGTTGCAAAAAAACACATAATCAAAATTTCTAGACCTTCTCTTTTTTATTTCCATGTAAGGGTTTGTTTTATGATGTTGTCCATTTGCTGCGCGGGTTGGCCTTTCTCCGTGTTCATAAGTGCCCAAGTCTAGTACCTTGAAGATGTGCCAAATAGCCAGTGCCTATGGAGCGCCCGCAACACTATCAGGGGGGTCGGTGACAGACATTTGTCTTGTGGTTTCCTGGCTCTTGATTGTGGTGTGAACCTACAGACCGCAGGGTTTCCCATATGATGCGAGTAGGTGATAGTCCGCTTTGACCCTTGCTCTGGGGCTAGGTCCCACGAATTATGCGATATTGACCGTAGATAGCCAAGATCAACGGCCAGAATCTCTTAATCCGTGCAAGTGGGACCTTGCCCCTGTACATAGTTTTCTGTGTTGCTTCATGCCTTGCTATGTTGGTGCATACCTGCGCGCCCGACTGCCTGCCCACTTGCCGTGCCATGTTCTGCGTAGTGAATACTGCTTTGAGTGCCTTGCTGTGTCCTTGTCTGTGCATCTCCCTCCCACCTGCCCACCCGCTTGCCTTGTTATGTGCTGCTTAGCTAGGCTACTAGAGTGGCCCGGGACCACTTGCCCAGCCGTGCCAATTAAAAAGAACAAAAATAAAGATATATTTTTATTAATTTTTTAATTGATAATTTTTTTATTTCAAATTTGGTAAAGAGTTTCGATATGACCCTGGGGCCTGGACCCACTAGCCAAGTATTCTACCACTCCGTTCAGGATTTCGATCACGTGTGGCCTCGAGTGATGCAGTACGGCCATCAAATACATTGGATCTCGACGGCCTGGTAGTTTCCCAGGGGGGACTGTAAAGATGCCCACCTCCCATCCAATGAGATGCGTCAAAAAAACAAAAAAAACCAACAAAGTTGGGCATGATAGCTGGTGGCTTTGCGAGGGCAGGAAGTCTGGATTTTATGGATTTAAAAGGGGGGGGTTGATTTCCAGACTTCGTTTTTTTTTTTTTGGCTCTGAGAAATAGAACTTGAAATGTGAAATTYGAATATTGTGGTGGATCTGACAGGAACGCTTTCGCGTCTGTCGGATGGCTTTCGCATCTGTCGGATGGCCTGTCGGATGGCCTGCTCGAGGCATCATGAGATACATGGTGATGAATGTATCCCAATACCCGTTACTTGTTCATCCTCGTGACTGTGTTCCTGGACACATTTTATTGCCACGGTACATCACTATGAACTAGTATGATTCTGTATGAAGACTTACATGAAGGAGATAGTACCAACCCATGAATTCGGGTGCACAGCTCTTCTTCATAGTTTTATGTGCTATTTCAATTCATTTTAAATCAGAAAACGGTCCATTCATGCAAATAAAAAATCACTTCGTATTTTCCAAAAAAACATAAAATTGCATCATACATCGTAGCAGTTAAATGGATCTGCACAGCGTTGAAGCTCCTCAACGCTGAGGTTACGGGACAGCGCTACCCCTCCCAGCATGAGCCTGACATCCTCCACCGTACAAGCACAGATTTGAACCGGCGACCTCGTCCTGAAGAGCCAGGTATCTTAACCACTACAGCCAGGACACGGTTTTCAAAAGTTGATTCATACTGGTCTTGATATCCATCCCACCCCTGCAAGGCTGTACTGACGAACTCAACACACAACACCACGCAGACACGATGAATTCTCGCACACCTCGCTCTCGCCAATCAGCACAAACCCTTACCACTGGTACTCCCTCCCGTCCACCTATATGGGCCACATATCTCGCGGTTAACGGGTGCTTCCACAACAGCTAAATGGATCTGCACATCTAGCTCCTCAACGCTGAGGTTACAGGACGGCGCTACCCATCCCAGCATGAGCCCGACGTCCTCCACCGTGCAA